TCTGCACTGAGGGTGAGACATTTTGACATTTGAAATTCTAACTATTATTGGTCGATTAACGATGGACCTTTTGTATTTATAGCAAAAATGCTTGGTAGTTGTATTTATTTATTGATGATAAGTTGAATATGTTGTGCAGGGAGATTAACAAAGCGTTTTGTGGCTTCATGGATCAATGCAAGAGTCATCAGTATCAACAGCTTTTCAAAGATGATCAAACTGTTAATGCCACCGGTGGAAGGTCCATTGTTCATCTTCTGGTGGGATTTCCTTTTGTCATATTCTAAATCTCCCTCATTTTGTTATTTCCTTTTTCTCCCCTTTCCCATATCTCTATAGGTATTTCAATTTTTTCATGATCTTAATTGTCTCCGATAGTCACTTGGTCATACTTCAACTTCATCTCAAGCAACCGTGGGAACATCAGGGAATCAGTTAGCCAGAAATCACGAGGGGCACAAGTATCAACCTTTAGACAATATTCAGCATGAAATTGGTGTTGTGACCGGAAATTGGGGTTGTGGTGCTTTTGGAGGAGATCCTCAACTTAAAGCTATGCTTCAATGGATTGCTGCATCTCAGGTTGTTCATTCTCCTTGGACATTTTCCTGCATTTTTGTACGGGAAGTATTGGCTCATGTGAGGCACAGAGCAGTTGCCTTTTTTTTAGGGGATAAATGTACTTAGTGCTTTTTTTTCAATGTCTAGGCGCATTCTCTTTCTCTCTCCTTTTGAGTCGCATCGTAGTTTTTAGGCATAATACATAAACAGACACTCAAACTTCATGTAACCACTTCAACTTTGAGAGTGCACATCTAAACATCTCATCTTGGTCTCAACTAACTACTTAACACCCCAACTCGTCCCCACTGTGTCTCATGGACAACTGTCGCTGACGTGTCACATAAATTTTGGAGGTGTTCGGAAGATCATTTTGTAAGTTGGAGTGTTCAATTGTCACAATGGAGATGAGTTGAGGTGTCTAGATATGCATACTCAAAGTTGTTGTGTTTATTTGCCATATGAGGCCGTTTGAGTGACTGGTTATGTATTATGTCTAGTTTTTAACTTGAGGTTAATAATCTTTGAATTCTTGATACTTGTAAATTGTAATGGTCTGTGCTTTATTGCTACTTGTAAATTGTGTTAGACGTTTAAAAGCTTTCGGAAAGGGAAAATGATGTCTTATAGACAGAGATGGAGGCAGTAAAATGTCAAAATATCAAATATCTTCTTTTAGATGTTCATTTCACTTTGAACATCTTCTTCTTCTTTTTTACATTAAAATTTTATCTCCTTGCATCTCCTACAGGCAATGAGACCTTTCATCTTGTATTATACATTTGGACTGGAAGCATTGCAGATGCTGGAGCAGGTACTTTCTGTCTGTTAATTATTCTATAATGTGTCTGGTGCGAAGTTTCATTCGACTTTGAACTGATATGTTTAATCCTAAGGACGTTTGCCGATTGATATTTCTGTCTTTAATTTGTTATAGTTTCTGAAAGTCTTGGAAGCTTATATCCGCGTGTGACATTTCTTTGTTGAAAACTTGGTCTAGGTGATTCAATGGATTGTTTCACATAAGTGGACTGCAGGGGAGCTTTGGAATGTGTTGGTGGAATACTCATCTCAGAGATTGGGGGAAGAAACTAGAGTGGGCTTCTTCAATTGGCTCCTTCGATCATTGTCTTCTCACGATGACATGCTCAACGATTCCTATGATGATCGAACATGTTCGTGCTGTTGAGTTTAATAATGTTGCTTGGTCCTTGTATACGCCATTTCATTGTATTGTATTATAAGGTGAGATTTGTCGCCATGGTTCTATCTTTAAGCTGACTGTCAACCTACTGCATTCGAACTTGAGACCGACCATGTGAAGCTCCCATTGGAGGAGTTGTTGGTTAGATGAAGTTCTAGTTGTTATTATTACACTTATACTCTAGTCAAGTTAGATACTTGTATATTGTAATATTGTGGTATAATTGATTGATTGGTATCTAAATTGGGTGAAAGGTTTGAAAGGAAGAAAAGCTATTTACTCCACTCCATATATGGGTCTAGAGAGGGTAGAGTGTACTTAGACTTTACCCTACCTCGTGAAGGTAGAACGTCTGTTTCTGAAACACCCCCAATAAAAAGCATATGCTAATTTTGTTTGGTTGGATTACAATTTCAGTCTTTTATAACTAGTGATATATTTAGGGTCGTCAGCTTGCACATACCTCAATATTCCATCGGATACCTATCACCTCTTACTACATGTATCAAGTAACTTTGTCAATCAATGTTAACACATGTGAAGAACTTGTGCGTTTTTTTTGTTTCTGCTGAGATTTGAATCACGATCACTCATAATTCATTCACTTCATTAATAGCTAGGCCACACCGTTTCGATATTACAAGTTTAAATATCTCCCTTTCATCATTGAAAATATGTATGAAGACAATACTCTAAATACCCACCCACCAATAATAGAAACCCCAAATTTATAGAGGACAAGTAAGGTATATTCTCAAGGCATATACTTCTCATAGAATATGGATATTCTGAGCATATATTAATAGTCATACAACTTACAACAAAACATTGTCAATTTGCTATCTTCTTAGTTTCTTCTTACAATATTATTCAAGCTCTTGTGTAAATATAGGTATATACCACAATAACATATTCATTAAAATTCCACAAATGAGATCTGGGGAGGGTAGAATATACACAGACCTTATTACTACCTTGTGGAGGTAGAGGTGTTGTTTCTGAAAAACCCTCGGCTTAGATGGAGCAATTACATGTATATATAGGTATATATATATATATATATATGCTAAAATTGTGTAGTTATGAATTTGTTTGTTGATGGTCATCTATTCATCATATCATTTGGCATAGTTTTTGCAACCATTAATATGCCTGATTAGATGAACATCAACAAACATCTTCATCACTTCATGTTAATCCCAATATTATTGTCGATGTGTTTGTGCTGGCTTGTGTGCACCTTAACTAATTTCACCGGTCATTGAATATTTATTTTCTCCCACCAACATTGCATAACTCAAGCTTGTATTATTTTTTTTCTTATATCTTAGTAAAAGGTAGTGTTTTTGCTAGTAGAGTCTTTGCATTTTCATTTTAGGCCCCTATATATTTACTTAATTTCTCATTTCCTCCAAATTTCTCATGCCATGAACAATCTTAGCTCAAATGCTTTATGAGGAATTTGAGTTGTCAAGAAAATAATTGATTTTGGTCTATTTGTAGATATACAACTCATATTTGATCATATCAAAGGGGTTTCCAACTAATATTTGTAATTTTGATGTTATGGTAGGTAATTTTAATATGATAAAAAATCATTTTTAGTGGATAAGGTTTAATTATTAACCTGAATAAATGAGAGTTTAAGTATTATCTGCAACAATAATTATTCTTTATTTATTTTTTGTTTATCCCCACCTAAGATGGAGAAGACAGCACACGTGACACATCTCATCATAGTCACAAAAACCCAAATAAAATACCCACCTACATCCTAAAACAAAAAAAGAAAATCTAGAAACTATAAATTAGGGGTGTACAAAATTGAATCGAAAATCGAATCAAATCGCAAATAAAAAAAAAATCCGACTAACGGTTTGGTTTGACTTGGTTTGGTGTTGAAAAAATAATCCGACTATACTTGGGTTGGTTTGGTTTTAACTAAAAAAAGTCAAATCGAGACCAAACCAACCCGACATTATATATATAATTTTTAAAATTTATTTTATACATAAAAGTATTTACTTTGATGTAATTTCTAAATATTACTTATACGTTTTCATAATTTTTATCTTTTATTTTGAGACTTAGAATTTTGAATGGTCCAATAATGGTTATAGTCCATAGATATTAGTAACTCTAATAAAGCTCAATTCGAAATCAAATCAATACTATGCTAACAAAATAAATTAATTCAACACTAAGAATGACAATAATGTTGAATATTTGTTCTTTAGTTTTACATTGGTTTAGACATTTAAAATAATCTAATTTTAATTTTTCTTTAATGTTTAATCATGTAACCATAATTATTAGACTTATTTTAGCATGATTTAGTACTTTTAAATTATGATCATTTTCATTATGACTTTGCAATATTTATTTTATATGATGATTTTATTATTATTTTTATTGAATATTTTAGTGTCATCATTCATCTCATATTTTGTGTTATTTTCTTAAGGAACACCTTAGATAGTTGTATTTTGGTTGGACTAAAGAAATATTTGGAGCACAAGTTAATTATATGTTTGTATGCATACTTTATCGGAAAAATCCAAAAACCTGAAAAAATTCAAGGTTTATTAGTTTGGTTTGATTTAAAAATTTAAAAATTCAACACAATGGTTTGATTTGGTATTTGAAAAATCCGAACCAACCCGAGGTTGAAAACCCCGAAAAAACTCGAGTTTTATTAGTTTGGTTTGGTTTGATAATTAAAAAACCCGAACCAACCCGGTTATGTACACCCCTACTATAAATACAGGTATATTTAAACTTCTATAAAATTGAATAAGTAAACACATAAGTCCTACGTGAAATAAACATGTTGGATGTCATGTAGAACGATAATTGTTATGTAGGACGCGTGTGTCTACTTATAGAAATTCTATACAAGTTTAAGTGTCTACTTTCAAAGTTGGAGCGCACAAATACCAAATGAAACTAAATTAAGGGTACGTTTATGTATTATATCGTTACAACAAGTAAAATCTAGTTATTATGTTGCGATAAAAGTTATTAGATTCATTTTATAACTTTATTGTCATTATGAATAAAGTTTAATTATTATCTCATACGTAAAAATTAACTCGAATTGCGACACAACAATAATAATAATTCTTTTATTCATATTTATTTCAACTACAACGTAACACATTTCATCAAAATCAACAAAACCCAAATACAAAGAAAATCATGAAAAACACCCAAACTAAAGAAAAACCTTCAAAACTCAATAACTAGACATTACACTCGAATTTCCAAGTCCGTAACACCCAAATTTTGGAAGCATATTGTTGATAACAACGTTAGAAATACGATGATAAGCTTCATCTGTCAGATGAAGCCCGTCCCAATTGACGTATTGGGACGGGTTAGGACATACATTGGTACTAGGTGTCCCACATCCCCCGGCTGTATTGTATCGTCCTCCACTTCCACAACATGCCGATACCAATGTATTTGGATTAAATCCCAACCAAGATGCATATCGAAAAATAAGTCTGAACCCACCATAGTAATCCCCATAGACAATTTTAACACGTGGGAACTCACATTGTAGATTTTCTAGAGCCTTCTTTAGCTCAGTATTGTGGTACGTAGCGAAACTATTATAAAATTTCAAACAACCAAATTGATCGTAAGCATTTGGATTCGTGTCAGGAAATCTTGTTAGGTATGCTGATAGACACCCAAAAGGGAAAACTCCTGGAACCAAAATGCGAGTTGATCCTAATTGGATCACCTCTTTGATGGCACTCATAATGCCATCAATAATTAAAGGTACATATGTACGTACCTCAGGTTCAGGTTTATTTCCCGCTAAAGCATTCCAATAATCAACTCCACCAAACTCTCCCAATACTACAAGAGAGTTTCGTAGAGTTCTAGCACACTTGGACCCATATGTTGACTGGAGGTGAGATTTAAACCACTCTAATTGACTGGGGAGAGGAACGTTGAACGGGACAAATCCAATGCCCCTCTCCGCCAAAAAAGAGTTATTCATCGCCGTTGCACCAGCAACGGCGAAATTAGCACCTTGACTAAAGGAAACACCTGATTTGTCCATGTAAGGATTGAGGAATGGGAGATTGAGAGCAGAGGCAATGTAATCAGCAATAATACGACCATCAGAAAAACGTCCAGTAGGTTTATGAAAAAAGGTTTCACCATAAGGTAGACCCCAAGCCTGGGCCGATATGACGGCACCAGGTATGCGGATCACGTTTCCAGCATCGGCAATAGAATCGCCGAACTGGAAAAGTGATGTGATGCGACATTTTGTTAGGACATCACAATGAGAAGAGTGAAAAAATAAAGTTATTATTATTAGTAAAGGAAAGAAAGAAAATTTGGATAGAAAAAGAGAAGCCATAATTATGAAGAATGATTTGTTTTTTTTTGGTTGGAAACTTTGGAATAGTAAAGTGCTATTTATAGAGAAAAAATAAAACGTACATGCATGTGAGTTTAGATCGTGATTCAATACAAATCATATACTACTAAAATATATTATTTAATGAATGTTTTTTTTTTTTTTTTTTTTGATCCAAACACCAAAGGTTTTATTATTTAGTGTATGTTTTAGGTCTCTAAAAACTAACATTTTAAATATACACAATTACGATTTCGATATTTACTATATTGAAATTTTATTTATCATTTTAAACTAAACTTTGAAAGTTCGATATTTAAAATACCTAATAATAATTGGGATCCAATTTATTTTCACGTAGTGCAAGATAACTTTTGGCTAATCGAAAAAACAAAATATAGAATAAAAAACGTGTACTATCAAGTCTTATATATATATACTAGATACAGGACCCCGTGTCAGCACGGGGCCCAAATATATATATTTTTTTATTTTAATTTATGTCATATTATGGAATTTGAGAAGTTATTGAAATTTTTATCTGATTTTAAAAATATTTTAAATTTTTAGCTATTGTGATTTGTAGTACTTTTTTTTAACATAATTTAGAAAAAAATATTTATTACTCTGTTTGTTCTAATTTATGTGGCACACGCAGAATTTTAAATATTAAGCATTTTTTATATGTCTCTTTAATATATTAAGTTGTTAATTATTGTATTTTATTGTATATTTTGAACCTAAATTTTTAATAATATATGTTATTTGCCATGTCCCAATTTATGTGACATTAATTGATAGATTTGTTGGAGTTGAGAGATTTATTTTGTTAATTATTGTAATTTTTTTTTTCCGTCAATTTCAAACAATATATGTTGTTAATTGATAGAATACTTTTAATGTAATTTTTTTAAAAAAATATGTGTGACTCTCCATGTCCCAATTTATGTGGCACATGTAAAGTTTTGACAATTAACCAAAATTTTAATACATTTAAAAAAATATTTTTAAGTTGTTAAATTTTAAGTAATAAGTAATTTAAATTGTTGTATTATTTATTACAATTTATAATACTTTTAAAGTAGTTAAAATATTGTACAATTTATTATGATTTATAACACTTTTTTTAAAAATTTATGTCATATTATGGAATTTGAGAAGTTATTGAAATTTTTATATGATTTTAAAAATATTTTAAATTGTTAGCTATTGTGATTTGTAGTACTTTTTTTTAACATAATTTTGAAAATAATATTTATTAATCTATTTGTTCTAATTTATGTGGCACATGCAGAATTTCAAATATTAACCCTTTTTTATATGTCTCTTTAATATATTAAGTTGTTAATTATTGTATTTTATAGTACATTTTGAACCTAATTTTTTAATAATATATGTTATTCGCCATGTCCCAATTTATGTGGCATTAATTGATAGATTTGTTGGAGTCGAGAGATTTATTTTGTTAATTATTGTAATTTATAATTTGTTTTTCGTCAATTTGGTCGACTATTTTTTTTATTAATTATTGTAATTTATTGTTTCTTTTTCGTCAATTTCAAACAATATATGTTTATCATATAATCCATTTTATGTGGTACCAATAGAATTTAGAGAGTCAATTAAATTTTGTATATAAGTTTTAAATAATTAAGCTGTTAATTATTGTAATGTATAGTATTACTTATATTATTTTTAAATATATTTAAATATTATATGTTAGGTTTTTTATCCTAATTTATATGGCATTGATAGAATTTAAAGTGTCAAATAATTGTTAATTATTGTAATAGATAATATGGAGTATTTAAGTCATTTATAGTATAGTATAATTAATATATAATATGTAGTATTTAAGTGTTATATTATGGAATTTGAGAAGTTATTGAAATTTTTATATGATTTTAAAAATATTTTAAATTGTTAGCTATTGTGATTTGTAGTACTTTTTTTTTATATAATTTTGAAAATAATATTTATTACTGTATTTGTTCTAATTTATGTGGCACATGCAGAATTTCAAATATTAACTATTTTTTATATGTCTCTTTAATATATTAAGTCGTTAATTATTGTATTTTATAGTACATTTTGAACCTAATTTTGTAATAATATCTGTTATTTGCCATGTCCCAATTTATGTGGCATTAATTGATAGATTTGTTGGAGTCAAGAGATTTATTTTGTTAATTATTGTAATTTATAGTTTCTTTTTTGTCAATTTCAAACAATATATGTTGTTAATTGATAGAATACTTTTAATGTAATTTTTTTAAAAAAATATGTGTGACTGTCCATGTCCCAATTTATGTGGCACATGTAAAGTTTTGACAATTAACCAAAATTTTAATACATTTAAAAAAATATTTTTAGTCGTTAAATTTTAAGTAATTTAAATTGTTGTATTATTTATTACAATTTATAATGCTTTTAAAGTAGTTTAACTATTGTACTATTTATTATGATTTATAACACTTTTTTTTTAAATTTATGTCATATTATGGAATTTGAGAAGTTATTGAAATTTTTATATGATTTTAAAAATATTTTAAATTGTTAGCTATTGTGATTTGTAGTACTTTTTTTTAACATAATTTTGAAAGTAATATTTATTACTCTATTTGTTCTAATTTATGTGGCACATGCAGAATTTCAAATATTAACCCTTTTTTATGTCTCTTTAATATATTAAGTTGTTAATTATTGTATTTTTTAGTACATTTTGAACCTAATTTTTTAATACTATATGTTATTTGCCATGTCCCAATTTATGTGGCATTAATTGATAGATTTGTTGGAGTTGAGAGATTTATTTTGTTAATTATTGTAATTTATAGTTTCTTTTTCGTCAATTTCAAACAATATATGTTGTTAATTGATAGGTTTTTTGGAGTGGAATTTTTTTTTATTAATTATTGTAATTTATTGTTTCTTTTTTGTCAATTTCAAACAATATATGTTTATTATATAATCTATTTTATGTGGTACCAATAGAATTTAGAGACTCAATTAAATTTTTTATATAAGTTTTAAATAATTAAGCTGTTAATTATTGTAATGTATAGTATTACTTATATTATTTTTAAATATATTTAAATATTATATGTTAGGTTTTTTATCCTAATTTATATGGCATTGATAGAATTTAAAGCGTCAAATAATTGTTAATTATTGTAATAGATAATATGGAGTATTTAAGTCATTTATAGTACAGTAATTAATATATAATATGTAGTATTTAAGTGTTATATTATGGAATTTGAGAAGTTATTGAAATTTTTATATGATTTTAAAAATATTTTAAATTCATAACTATATATTTCAATGTACAAGATTTTGATAAAATAAAATCTTTAAAGTTAAATTATAATGTTTTTGAAATTTAAATTATTAAAACATATATAATGATTTTATAGAAAAAATAATATCATATAAAATTAAATGAAAAGGATAATAAATTCAACTTTTACCATGATAAGGTTGAAAAATATTATTTAAGTGGAAGGAGATGGGGCCCACTTTTGGTAGTAAATCCTAGACTCTTCTTATTTAAGTGTTATATTATGGAATTTGAGAAGTTATTGAAATTTTTATATGATTTTAAAAATATTTTAAATTCATAACTATATATTTCAATGTACAAGATTTTGATAAAATAAAATCTCTAAAGTTAAATTATAATGTTTTTGAAATTTAAATTATTAAAACATATATAATGATTTTATAGAAAAAACATATTGAAATTTAAGTATATATGTGAACATGAATAATGGAGTCAATTCCCTAAATGGTCACCCAAGTTTAGGGAATTGCCTTGAAATATCATTTATTTTCATTTAGGACCAAAATATCACTCAACTATCACTATTTTCCTCCAAATATACTTGACACTTCAAAAGTCTCACTCTCTCCCATTGGCATGACATGTCATTAAAGTCTTTTTTTTTTAATAATAGACTTAATTAATTTATCAAACTCATTTAACTAAAATAATGATCTTATTATTTTCTAAAAAATATATATATTAGTTTATTAAGAAGAAATTTTCATACTTAATAATCTTTTATCATAATTAAATTTTTTATTCTTTTATGATGTAAAGAATAGTTTTTTAAAACTTACCATAATGTCATCAATTTTGAATAATTATGAGCAAATATATTCAAAAAATATTGATATATAAATCACTTATGAATGTCAACTTACATCAATGAATCATATATTATATAATGGATCAATAATATTGAAGGTCTATTAACTATTAAAAAATAATTAATTGGGTGCTTTGTAATCCATATATACTTACAATATCTTTCTTTGAAAAGAAAATAGAAAGTGAATAATATTTATATTAGAAAATAAACTTTATTTATCAATATATTAATCTCATATAATAAGTATATTATTGAATTAAAATAGGAAATTCAATTAATTATTACTTGTATTTCATGAATTTGGGATGAGATAAGAATATATATTGGTGTTTAATTGTATGAGAATTTAAAATATAATATAATATAATATAGAATAAAAGAATAAAAATAAAAATTAAATTAAAAAAAGTTAAATAATAATTTTCTCTTTCTTATCAACTTTTTTGTCAACCTTACAAATTTATTTGAATACTTTTATGAAAAAAATTGCTTAAAATTTTTGAATAATTTACTTAGGAATTTTAAAAATTACCAGATAATAATTGCACAAATAAGTTTTTTCATTGAATTTTGTTTGGTAAAAATATATAAAGGAATTAGATTTTTAATTTTTTTTTAATAATCTTCATAAATTCTCATATAATGTATATATTTGTTTTGTAGAGACATAAGTTTGATGAATTAAATAGGTCTATTATTTTTTAAAATGATGATTTAATGACATGAAATATCAACTAGGATAGAAGAAGACTTTTGAGGTATTTAGTATTTGTTTTTGGATAAAAAATATGATATTATTCACTTTCTATTTTTTCAAAAAAATAAAATAAAATGGTACGCATGAATTTC